CAGAAATACCCCCCCCCCCCCCCCAAAAGTGACACCCACCAAAAATGACACCCCCCAAAAATGACACCCAGCAGGTGGCTCCTTTGGCACCAGGGCACTGTGGCTGTGATCAGGTTACACCCGTTGGCACCAGCTGAGGACACAGTCTGCTGAGCATCAGTTGCCACCACCCCCGGGTGAGGACTGCCCACCCTTTAGGGCAGCTGGGGCAGGGGAGTGGGAGGGAAGGAATTTTGCAGGAATGAAGCCTCTGTGTGTCCCTTCCTAGAATCATAGAATCCCAGGATCTCAGACTGGTTTGGGCTGGAAGAGACCATGAAGATCATCTAGATCCAACCCCCCTGCATGGGCAGGGACACCTCCCACCAGCCCAGGCTGCTCCAAGCCCCATCCAACCTGCCCTTCAACACTGCCAGGGATGGGGCAGCCACAGCTTCCCTGGGCAGCCTGGGCCAGGCTCTCACCACCCTCACAGCAAAGAATTTCCTCCTCATGTCTAAAATTCCCTTCCTAACATCACTCTGCAGGGCTGTTCCTGCAGGGGCTGGAGTCCTTTCCCTCGCTGCCAGGGATGGCTTGTCCCACCCTGCCCCAGTCACCTTCTGGCCTGGGCTTGCCCAGCACCTTCAGCACCTCTGCGTTGGTTGGGTTGTGCCCCAGGGCGCGCAGGACGTCCCCGCACTGGGCATAGGTGACCTGCATGGCTCCCGTGGGGCTCTGGTCAAACAGGCTGAAGGCTTCTTTGAACTCTGTGAGGAAGAAGAGCTCATCTCACACCCCACCCCAACTCACACCCCACCGGAGCAAGTCCTGCCTGGCAGGGGAGGGATGGAGGGGTGGGCAGGGGGGTGGTGGGTGCTTGGCCAAGGAGCCACCCAAGGTTGCCAGACTCCTTCAACGAGCCACTCAGCTTCCTGAGCAGGTTTTGCCACCCGTGTGGAGCTGGCTGGATGACCTGCTGGGATTCCACCTTGCCCTGGCAGCACTGGCTGCTCTGCTGCAGGACATCCCCTTTGCTCTTCTCCTGGGCACCTCTGGAACCCTCCCACTGCCCCCCATCCCCCAGGACCCTTGTGACACCCCCTCCTCTCTGCTGGCATCCCCCAGATGGGCAGACACAGCAAGGTGTTGCTCATGCTTGGGGAAGGGTGACTGTGTCCACCCCAGCCTTGCAGACCACATCCCACCATCCTGGTATGGAAGGACATGGGAGATTCCAAGCTTGGTCCCATAAATGATCTCATGTAACATCTTGCCTGGAGGAAGAAGCCTAAATTAGGAACAACTAAGGTTCTCTTTCATCTCAGTGTCTGATGCTTGTCAGCTTCTTGACCTGCTGCTGGATCTCTTTTGAATCCTCACGTTGGCTACATGGAGAACTGTGCTCCTGTGGTGCTCAGGGCCTGGGCTCTGCCTCTCATTTCAGCCCAGATGATCTTCTCCAGTAGAAGAGGCTCCACACTCAGCAGCAGTTGACTAGCCCAAGTGGGAAATCAGCCTTTCCTGCCTGTCCATGTGAACGCTCAGGACTGAGTCTCTTGTCCATGGCACTAATGACTTCCAGGTTCTGGTCCATCTTCTTCACACTGGCCAGCAATGGCTCCAGCAGAGCCACTGCTCTTCCTGCTGTTGGGTGGGATCAAACCACCACAGTCTGCACATGGTGGTGGAGATCCCATGGTCTGGTAGGCATCGCCCTCGGTTTGGTGGGAATCCTTGTCCAGGACTTTGAGTTTGCAGCACTTTCTACTTGGCATCTTGGTATGTTCTGCTGAGCCTCACCATCCCCTGGAGCTGTCCCTAGATGTCCCTGCTGTGTCCCTGTAGTCCTGTCCAGCACCCTGGGGGAGCTGCTCTTAATCCTGCTTGACCCCACGATGGCTCCATCCCTCCATCCAGGGAGGGACATCAGCTCCTGCAAGTCCCTGGGTCAAGAGCCACCACTACCAGGGCACTTGGGGATCTCCAGTCCCTACTACCTGGAGTGTGTCATATGCCCCGGGATATCTCACATGCCCTGGGGTATTTCACATGCTCTGGGACATTTCACATGCCCTGGGACATCACTGCAGCTTAAATCCAAATGTCTTGGCATTCTCACTTGCTTACTTTCCCACTGGCTCTTTTTCCTCCTTCTGAAAGCTGCTTGGGGGGCTGAGCCTGCAGGACACTGGGTCTCTTCCTCCCAGTATTCCCACCAGGATCTGCCCTCAGATCTTCTCCCTTCCCTACAGAAGGGCATGAAAACTGCCCATGGAGAGCTGAGACATCCCAGCTCAGCCCCCCTGCACGGGGCTGTCCCTGCATCTCCAGAGGCTGTGAATCCAGGATTTGAACCAGGCTGCACCTCCCACCATGGATGGAAAAACACCTTTTCCCTGCCAGGCTCTGGAGCTGGGATGATCTTCTCCAACTGGTGCATCCTCAGCACAGAGCCAGAAGCCTGGATCCATTCACTGCTCCTGGTGTTGCTCTCCCAGCTCCATCCCTGGCTCCGACTCCCCTTGGGCATCTCTCCCACCTCCATCTCCTGCCTCCTCCCTTTCCACCTCCTTCCCAGGCAGGAACATGACTTCCTGATCCCAGATATCCCTTCTCCCTGCTAGGAAACCTCCCCAGAGTATCCTGGAGGCTGAGCAATGTGTTGGGAGGGAATGGGGCACCTGGATCCTGCTGGGCTTTCCTCCAAGGGGGGAATTTGTCAGATGGAGCCTCTTGGCTCCCACGTCTGCTGTGAAAAACCACCCGGGAAAAGGATTCCCAGTTTCTAGAGCTGGAGAAGGAGGGACCTGCACTTACCTTCGATCTGCTCAGTGGTGAATTCGATCTGTTGGGAGAGGAAAACAGGGCTGGGCATGAGGTCAATGCTGGGGGGTCTTGGGGGTGTCTCCCTGGCCCTGAACTTCTCCCTCCCCAGCCTGCTCAGGGTGGGGTGTCCCATGTCCATGTCCAGGCTGCATCCTGGGAGCCAAGATCCCTATGGAGTGGTTGGGTGGGCAGCAGGGATGCTCAGACCACCCTCAGGACTGTTGTGGGTGGAAAGGATGTAATTTTAAGGCTTTGATCCCTGATTGAAGGGATGAAACAGCCCCCGGGCTGAGCCTGCTCTGAGGAGCTCTCCTGCCACAGCTCAAACTCGTACCTACACCCTGGGGCATCAGGAGAAAACCCAGCTCCTGTTGTAGAGACTGGGATAAAAGATGCTCCTGCATGGAGGAGAAAAGGCAGGTGGCACATTCCTTCGGGATGGAGGCAGTGGGGGGAGGGACAGAGAAGCTTTTTCCTGCAGCCAGGGTCCTGGCAGGATGTCCCAGCCAGGAGCTGTGGGGGGCTCAGGGTGTTTGACACCAGAGCTGCGGGTGCCCTGGGGGGAGGGTGAAGCAGTTTCCCTGGCTGAGGGGACAGTGAAACACCTCTCAAGGCAGGAGAGCATCCCTGCCAACCCCCTGCAGCCACCTGCTCATTGTCCCCCTCCCAACCCTGGCTCTCAGCTTGCCTAAAGTGGCACCTCAGCCCCCCCTGCCCAGCAGGTGCCAGGCAGGGAGGGGACATCTCATCTCATCTCATCCCTCACTCACCTTCACCAAGGAAGGGGAGCACCCTTGCCAACCCCCTGCAGCCACCTGCTCATTGTCCCCCTCCCAACCCTGGCTCTCAGCTTGCCTAAAGTGGCACCGCAGCCCCCCCTGCCCAGCAGGTGCCAGGCAGGGAGGGGACATCTCATCTCATCTCATCCCTCACTCACCTTCACACTCTTGGGATCAAAGGCAGGTTCTTTGGGAAGCTCCGGGGCTGGAACTGCTCTACCTGCTTCTTTCTTTGGCTCGGGTTTCTTGAGGGGCATCGTGCTGGGTCTGCAGGGGTGCGGGGATGAGTCCTGCCTCCCAGGGAAGCCACCGGGCAGAGGGATCAAAGGGAAAACTCTGCTCCTTCCCTTATATCCTGTCCAGGCCCCCAGGGGCAGCCCAGCTGCTGCAGCAACTGCTGCTGACTATAAAAGGAAGAAAACTCAAATGAGAGGGGCCCCAACTTGACAATTGCCCATTGTCATCAGCTCCCAGAGCAGCAAAGCCACCAGCCACCCCCCCCCAAAGCCACAAAAGGGGGGACATGTGTCCCCCCCAGCACCTGCACCGGGTGGGCTGCATGGGGGCTGCTTGCTAAGTGATCCCTGGAAACCTAAACTCAAATGGGCCCCGGGGGGGCTGGCAAAGAAAATAGCAACAGGATGACTGATAAAGGGCTGATAAACCTGCCCTGGTACCCAGGGGAAAAGTGTGTCTGTTTTTAGGCAGGTCTGTGAGGGCTGCAGAGCCCTTTTGAAGCCTGGGGTTTATGAAGTGCTGCCTGAAAGGAGCCCAGGCCTCCCTGAACCAACCCCCCCTCTGGCCTCCTGCTCAGGGGCTGCTTTGCCCCCATCTCCCCTCAGAGCTGAACTTGTGCCTGAGCCTCCACCAGGGTGGCTGGTGAGGGTGCTGCACAGGATGGGTGAAGCTGGGCACCCATTCAGTCATCAGCTGGAAAGGATGTAATTTTAAGGCTTTGATCCCTGATTGAAGGGATGAAACAGCCCCCGGGCTGAGCCTGCTCTGAGGAGCTCTCCTGCCACAGCTCAAACTCGTACCTACACCCTGGGGCATCAGGACAAAACCCAGCTCCTGTTGTAGAGACTGGGATAAAAGATGCTCCTGCATGGAGGAGAAAAGGCAGGTGGCACATTCCTTCGGGATGGAGGCAGTGGGGGGAGGGACAGAGAAGCTTTTTCCTGCAGCCAGGGTCCTGGCAGGATGTCCCAGCCAGGAGCTGTGGGGGGCTCAGGGTGTTTGACACCAGAGCTGCGGGTGCCCTGGGGGGAGGGTGAAGCAGTTTCCCTGGCTGAGGGGACAGTGAAACACCTCTCAAGGCAGGAGAGCATCCCTGCCAACCCCCTGCAGCCACCTGCTCATTGTCCCCCTCCCAACTCTGGCTCTCAGCTTGCCTAAAGTGGCACCTCAGCCCCCCCTGCCCAGCAGGTGCCAGGCAGGGAGGGGACATCTCATCTCATCTCATCCCTCACTCACCTTCACGCTCTTGGGATCAAAGGCAGGTTCCTTGGGGAGCTCCGGGGCTGGAACTGCTCTACCTGCTTCTTTCTTTGGCTCGGGTTTCTTGAGGGGCATCGTGCTGGGTCTGCAGGGGTGCGGGGATGAGTCCTGCCTCCCAGGGAAGCCACCGGGCAGAGGGATCAAAGGGAAAACTCTGCTCCTTCCCTTATATCCTGTCCAGGCCCCCAGGGGCAGCCCAGCTGCTGCAGCAACTGCTGCTGACTATAAAAGGAAGAAAACTCAAATGAGAGGGGCCCCAACTTGACAATTGCCCATTGTCATCAGCTCCCAGAGCAGCAAAGCCACCAGCCACCCCCCCCCAAAGCCACAAAAGGGGGGACATGTGTCCCCCCCAGCACCTGCACCGGGTGGGCTGCATGGGGGCTGCTTGCTAAGTGATCCCTGGAAACCTAAACTCAAATGGGCCCCGGGGGGGCTGGCAAAGAAAATAGCAACAGGATGACTGATAAAGGGCTGATAAACCTGCCCTGGTACCCAGGGGAAAAGTGTGTCTGTTTTTAGGCAGGTCTGTGAGGGCTGCAGAGCCCTTTTGAAGCCTGGGGTTTATGAAGTGCTGCCTGAAAGGAGCCCAGGCCTCCCTGAACCAACCCCCCCTCTGGCCTCCTGCTCAGGGGCTGCTTTGCCCCCATCTCCCCTCAGAGCTGAACTTGTGCCTGAGCCTCCACCAGGGTGGCTGGTGAGGGTGCTGCACAGGATGGGTGAAGCTGGGCACCCATTCAGTCATCAGCTCAGGATGTTTCACAGCCCTGCTTCACCAGGCACCCCCAAACCTGTAGGGCAGACAGGCAATGGGGTTCTCTTTCTTCCCCCCACTGGGCAGGTTCCAGTGGGAGATGCTCCTGTTCTCACTCTCCTCTTCTGGCTGTTTGAAGAGGCAGAAGAAGTCACTGAGGTTCAGCATCCCAGCAACTGAAGCTCAAGGGTCACACCAAGACATCCTGAGCCATCAACTTCAACTTAGCATAGAGTCATAGAATGGTCTGGGTTGGAAGGGACCTTTGCAACAGAGCACAGGAGAAGGAAAAACCATTCCCAGTTCGCACTGGGATCCCAGAAATAAAGGGGTAAAAAATGAATTACAACAGATCATAGAACCATAGAGTGGTGAAGGTTGGAAGGGACCTTAAAGATCATCAGGTTCCTGCCATGAGCAGAGGCACCTCCCACCAGATCAGGCTGCAGGAAGTCTCATCCAACCTCCCCTTGAACACCTCCAGGGATGGGGTTTCCACAACCTCCCATCTCCTCTGCTGTGGAGGTGCTGCCTGGTCCCATTTCTCCAGCCAGTGCTTGTCTACATATATATATATATATATTTAAGGGTTTGTTCATGCACAGACAGCCCAAATGCAGTTAGATCTGTATTTTCAGGCACCTGAATCAGGGTTGCAGGGTAACCAGCCGGGTTATGGGCTCTTGGGGGGGGGGGGACCAGCCACAAAGTGCTGGGAAATTTGCTGCCTGTCGTCACCCCAGGATTGCTGGCGTGGGGCTGGGGAGCTGGGGGGGCTGGGTGGGTGTTGTTTGTTGCTTCCCAGAGCTCTCTATAATAGAGCAAGTCATTTAGCAAAAAAAGCCTCCAATGTGTTTGTCTATCTGTGAACTCAGAGCTGGGGTCAGATCTTGCCTGCAGTGGGAATCAAGTTGCCCCTGAGTGTTGCTGCCTCCCCCCAGACAGCATCTATCTCTCCATCCATCCCTCCCCCCCTCCATCCATCCATCTCTCTCTCCCTCCATCACTCCCTCCATCCTTCCATTTATTAATTCATCCCTCCATCTCTCTCTCCCTCCATCCCTCCCTCCATTTATTCATCCATCCCTCCATCTCTCTCTCCCTCCATCCCTTCCTCCATCCCTCTATTCATTCATCCATCCCTCCATCCATCCATCTCTCTCTCCCTCCATCCCTCCATCCCTTCCTCCATCCATCCCTCCATCCCTCCATCCCCCTCCAAAAGAACATCACCTCTGTCCTCACTCCCTGGCAGCTCCTTGGTCAGAAACCACCCCCAGCAGAGCCTTCAGAAGACACCAACCCTGCAGTTCAGCTGCCTCCCCCTCCCCACAGGCCGTGCCCTCCCGAGGAGCAGGGGGGGGAGTTGTGGTGCCCCCCAGTCTCTGCTCCCACGCAGCCCTCCAGGCTGGGGGCTAAATCGGGCTGAGGAGCTGAGCAGCTGCCAGAGGTGCCTCTAATCCCCCCTGGATTTCCAGCTGATTGCCCGGGCAGGGACAGCAACCCAGGGGCTTCTTTTCCTGTCGGATTCAATCAGAGGGAGCAGCAGCAGCTCCTGGGCACTGTCACTTGGGTTTGTTGGGCTCCCTGGCTGCAAGAGCCCAGGGAAGGTCTGACCCACCACGGGGGCTCGTGGCTGGGACCAGGATGAGCTGCCCTGCCAGGAAAATCCCAAAGGAGGCTCCAGGGCTCTGCTCCATGTGGGATTTTGCCCTCCCGGAGGCAGCAAGAGCTGCACCTGGACATGGATCTCACAGGCTGGATCCCAGGGGTGGGAGATGGCTGATCCCAGGGCTTGGCACTGGGATTTTGAATTTCAGCCTCATGCCACTAACCCTGACCTGCTCAGGGAACAAGGATTCCATGCTCTGTGTCCCTTTTCCCCCAGGGTTGCTGGGGACACCAGGTGTTTGGGCTGGGAGGCTCCAGCACCTGCATGATCCCCAAACACAGGGGACGGTCCTGGGCCCCCCGTGGGTGACAAGGGACCCTGATGGGGACGGTTTCAGCTGTGGTGGGACCAGCTCTGACCCTCCCTGCTCAGTTTGCCTCATTCACAGGCTGCCTGAGGCACCCATGGGAGTGGAAACTCCTGCTGCAGGACCATCCATCTGGTCCCTGGTGGGGAGCAGGACACATCCCAGCAGGTCTCCCCAAAACTTGCCCCAAACCTGAGAGAAGGCAAAGGGTTAAACTGGCATCTGCCTGAAATCCATTCCAGCCCAGCCCAGCAGTGCTGAGGTGATGCTCACGTGCCTGCACCCTCTGCCTCCCAACCAACCTCCTGCCACCTCCCTGGGATTTTTCTTAAGGTCCTTCAGCTCCCAGGGACCAGTCTGGGGCTGGAGGGGACAGAGCAGCGTGGTGGGAGGATGCTGGGACAGCTGGGAAATGAGCCACCCAGCAGGGAGAGAAGTTTCTGAGAAGAGAAGAGGAATCTGCCTTGAATGAAGAGGATTTTAGCACCTCGGGCTGAGCCAACAACCTCTGCCGTCCCCAGGGAACTGTTTGCACATCCTCCTGGAGACCTGGGGAGTGAACAGCAGCAAGTCTGGTGGGAGGAGAAACCCCCCACCCCAGCCTGGTGAGCTTGTCAGCAGCTCCCACAGCACTGCTGGGCAGACCCTGCCGGGAGCAGGGACTCACCTCGGGGTGCTCCCCCCACCCTGAGCACCCCGCTGGTCCCTCTCCCCTCCTCACCTCTCAGGAAGGTGCTCCCAGAAGATGCTGAGTCCTGCTGGACACACCAGCCCTGCTCCATCACCTGCAGCCCTGGGCTGGCAGCAATTCAGCTGTCCCCAGGTGAAGGTCTTGCTTTCTCCAGCTCCTTAGCCCTGACCTTCCCATCCCAGAGACGTGGTGGGACCATGGAGGCATCTGTCCCTGGGGGAGGCACCACGGTGGTTCTGCTCTGCTGCTGCCTCCTGAGCTCAGCATGGGCTCTGGTAAGTCTGCTTGGTCCTGGGGTGTCCTCCATGGGCTCTGGTAAGTCTGCTTGGTCCTGGGGTGTCCTTCATGGGCTCTGCTAAGTCTGCTTGGTCCTGGGGTGTCCTCCATAGGCTCTGCTAAGTCTGCATGGTCCTGGGGTGTCCTCCATGGGCTCTGCTAAATCTGCTTGGTCCTGGGGTGTCCTCCATGGGCTCTGCTAAGTCTGCATGGTCCTGGGGGCTCCTCTGGTCCCAGCCTTGGCTTTAAATGTTGTGAATTGTTCAACCTGCTCTGGTCGGGGCCGCGTGTCCCCCCGGCTGCACGACCTGCTCTGCAGAGCTGCTGGGCAGGAGGGAAGAGTTTCTCTGCTTCCACTGGAAGCTTTCCAGGAGCTGAGGAGCCACCACCTGATGATTTTTCCACTACTCAGGTGCACCCAGAGTTCACTGGGAGGCATCAGGGGTGCAGAAGGAGCTGCACCGCTCAGGGTCAGTGCAGACAGGGCTGGAGGGATGTGGTGAGGGCAGAGCTGGGTCTGTCCAGCCCCTCTCCCAAAGCTGGGCCCCCCCTCTTGCCCTGCACCCCTCTGCCCACCCACCCCGCTGGCTGGAATGGGAATGGGAGCTCAGATCCCCTCTCTGGGACAGGATTTGGTCCCACTTGCATATGGGCAGCCTGGGAGTCAACCCAACCCCCTGCATCAAGGCTCCTTCCCACTTCCAAAGCTCTTTCCCCATCCTGGCTCCAAACTCAGCATCTCCAAACATCCCATAAGATGTTTGCAGGTCTGGTGTGACCAGGAGGCTGCAGATGCTGCTCCCAGTGTGAACCCTGCAGAGCCCCAACCAACCCCTGGACTCCAGGGCTACCAGACCCAGCTCCGTGGCTGCTGCACCAGCTTTTCCTACCAGCACATCCCTTTTCCACACATGCTTCTCTTGTCTCTTCACTCCCATTTCTTGCCCCAGGGATGCTCCTGCTTGATGAGAACCTCTCTTCAGGCAAGACCACCAGGCTATGGGGTTCAGCAAAGGGTTGTTGCCACATTAGATGATGTTTCTGTAGCAGCCCCCAAGCCCCTCGTGATTTTGGGCTTGGTGTTCATTAGCTGGTTGGATTCAAGGGTTGGCAGCAGGGAGCAACAAGGGGTTTGGTGACAGAAGAAGTGACATGGATGCTGCCCCAAGTTGGGAAGCATTTGTGGGTCTCATTGTCCGCCCTCAGGGTGCTCTGGAGCCCACCAGGGTGGGTTGAGGTCTCTCAGGAGGATTAATCTCTAAATGGTGAGCACAAAGAGGAGACCTGAGCTGAGCTGCTGCCACAAGCTACCCAGAGATGGGGGTTTGACACTTTGGTTTTGGCTGGGCAGGTTGACCCTGATGATGTTCTCACAAAAGAAGAGCAGATCTATCTCTTGGTGGAAGCTAAGGAGAAATGTCAGAGAGATATAAAAGCCCAACTGGAGAAGATCAAAGGTAGGGTCCCCTCCCCTGCACATGGGCCAGCCCTGGTGGGGGTGGCTGTGTTGTGGGAAATGCTGTCCCTCTGATGGGAGTGGGGACAGATGGCTCCTGAGGGTTTGAGGAGCTCCTGGCACGGTGGCTGCTCTGGGCACAAAGAGGTGCTGGTCAAACTATCACCCATTCCCAGACTACCCTGTGCCCATGGCAAATGAGAATTGTGGAGCCCCAGGGGGAGGTGGGACGTGATGGGACGTGTCCCCCCTACCCACCCCCTGCTCTGCAGGCTGGGGCTGGTGGTCTTTTCCTCACCCTGGTCCAGGGCACCCCTGGGGAAGCTGGAGGTCACAATGTGGCCCCTTTTTGGAGCCCAAGTGAGATGTGTCTTGTTGGCCAGACACCAGCTGCCTGCCCGAGTGGGATGGGATCATCTGCTGGCCCAAGGGCTCCCCCAGCCAGGAGGTGTCTGTGCCCTGCCCTGACTACATCTACGACTTCAACCACAAAGGCAAGTGCTCACACCTGGGTGGGGAACAGCCTCACCTTGGGGATAACCCTCCACAGAGCAGAGATGGGTCTGGGCTTCCCTGGGATAGGATGAGGGGCAATGGAATCAAACTGGAACCCAGGAATTTCCACCTCATCATGAGGAAGAACTTTCCTGTGAGGGTGACAGAGCCCTGGGCCAGGCTGCCCAGAGAGGTTGTGGAGTCTCCTTCTCTGGAGACACTCAAAACCTGTCTGGATACCTTTCTGAGTGATCTGCCCTAGTCTTTTTTTGGTCCTGCTCTGGCAGGGGGGTTGGACTCAACGAGCTGAGGTCCCTTCCAACCCCTGACATGCTGTGATTC